GAAGAGTGCCTTGGCCACTAACAGGTCGAGAGGAGCCATCAATGAGTATAATATTATGGGTGACTAGACGAAGGGATGAAAAAGAGAGGAATTACCAGAGATATGAGAACTAGTGCCAGAGTCTAGAAGCCAAGGTGGGGGGGATTGAGCGATACATGCAATATTACCTGACTTAGCCGAGGTAGCAGTAGAGGATAAAGGAAGTGCAGTATGAAGAGAATTAATTATCTTAGTAAGCTCGCTAATCTGAGTGGTGAGTGCATTATGAGACTCAACTGAGTAACCACCAGGACCAGAGGGAAAGGAAATTGACTGAGAGGATTGAGCATCCATAACCTGATTCACATGATCAGGTTTATCATACTTATGCCAACACCAAGGTTCAGAATGACACACAGAACCACAATGAGTACACTTCTGATCACTACGAAACATAGAACTAGTACCACGACTACCACCACCATCAGAACCACATGAACCAGTATGAGGTCCATAGGGACTAGAGCTGCCATGAAAACTACCCCCGATTAGGCCCACGGTCACCACTGTTAGAGATCAAAGCCGAAGAGGACAAGTGCTGAGAGGAAGTAGACGTGGAAGAACCTGTTAGTATTAGCAGCAAAAGGTAAATTCTCATTGGCAAGAATTTGATCTTTGAAACCCTTTAGATCACAATCTAAGCCCAAAAGTAAGGATACCATCATAAACTCCTCCCAATATTTCTTTTGTTGAGCCAAATCAGTAGTAAAATGTCGGTGCTGCAACAATTGGTCCCACAAAGTCTTCAAGCCACTATAATAGTCAGGAAGAGGATGGCCAGACTGGCGGGTAGCAAAAATCTGTTCATACAACTCATAAACTCGAGAGGCATTAGTCTGATTAGAAAAGGACTCAGCAAGGGAGTCCCAAATGGCCTTATAGGTGTCACAAAATTCAACGGTTGTAGCAACATTAGGCTCTAAACTATACCAAAGCCATCCTATAACATAGGAATCCTCAATCAATCATCATGACATTTATCATCCTCAGCAGGTGGAAGGTCAGTAAGAAAACACGACTTCTTCTTGCCACGCAAGAAAATCTTAACGGTATGAGCCCAAGTTAGATAATTTAAACCATTCAATTTCTTAGTGGCAATAGACTTGGGGAACTCATCATCCTTAGTTATGGAAGATTTCACATCATGTTTTGGCTCAGCCATGATAAGGAGAACAACCAGCAGATGCTAAGGGAAAAAAACAAAACACAAGGACAATCAACCAACAGGAATAAAGTGGAGTAAGGAAATTACCAACCAACAGTAACCAGCAAGCAGCTAAACAACCCAAAGGAAGAGCCAAAATGATCAGCCAATGCCAAAACAGGGGTGCCGAACAAGGCAAATCCACCAAAAATTGCCAAACATTGACCCAGCAGCAACATGAAGCAAAAACAATCTCAAAGATAGCCTCCTAGGGCTATTTCAGCTCCCAAGAAAGAGGTTTCAACAAGCAGAAAACTCTGGGTAAGGAGCTTTATCGCAAATCAGAAATATGACACCATTAAATCGAAAATCTTTCAAAAATCGAAAATCTTTCGAAAATAGAAAACTCACATTAGATGGTCTAAAAAAAAATCCACAAAAATCACCATTGAGATCAGAAGAGGAAGACGACCAAGAAGGGGTCACCTTGTCCGTATAGTCTATGACGTCATGCTGACGTCATCGTACGGAAGATGACGTCAGGACATTATTGTCACCTCAAAGGAATCGAGAGTGACTGAAGAACACTTTGATAAGGTTGAATCGAAACTCTGATACCTAGTTGAAGTGTAAAAGTATGGAAAACTTTGATTAGGGCTAGAGAGAAAAAGAGAGAGAGAAGGAAGAAGGAGAAGACTATATATTATTAAACGTACGTTTCTTGGTTCCTTTCATAAACCTAAAACATCAGCAAATATAGAGAATACAATATGACCATAGTACCCTCACTCAACACAAAAAATAACATATATCACTATATATTCTAACATCTACCACATAGTGTCTTGGTACATGCAAATTGTTTTCAAAGCTTCTACCAAACACCAAAAAAAAGTGAAGAAAAACATTGTTTTCATGTAAAAGGTTCTACACATAAAACATTTTCTAGTCAATCATATTGTATTGACAAAAATGGCACATCAAATAAGCCTTTTATTCCCATTTTTCTCTAAAAAATTAGAGTTGCATTGATTATTATTGTTAGTTATCATTGCTTAGCAAAATGGTAAAAGCTCTAGATGTCAAGCATGAAAGCATGGGCATAAGTCTATGAGCAACGACTTCCTGCAATCACTGACAAAGATTATTCTATTTCCACTAATACGAGCACCAAGTAAAGGCCATTTTTTATTTGGTTCTATGAAAGAAAAAATACCAATTTATATCAGCATTATTGTTCTTCACATAACCTTAGCTCAAGGCACAAGAAAACTTTGGGTAATATAGTAGAAAAAAAGGTGTATTATGCGGCAAGCAAGCTCCACTTTGCTGCAACTACTAGGTGTTAATCTATTACTAAAGTATGGCCAATAAAAATATGGCATATAATGAAAATAACACTAAACTAATTTTAATTTTCATTCCAACACAAATGTCAAGAACATTTTAACATTGTCCATCAAATTGGGACCAATCCTAAACAACCAAGTCCGAGTATATGGCCCATGATTCCATGAAAATTAAAATGCAAAGCCATAAAATCCACTTTGGCCCAAAGCCACAAGATAAGGAAGCAACATAATTTGCAGCCTAAAAACGTTTGGCCCAAGGCCACATGGGACAAAGAAGCAACACAGTCTGGTGCCCCAAAATTATTAGACCCAAGGCCACAAGATAAAGAAGCAATAGTCTACTATCGTCACTCTTGAAGTAATTGAAAATAAAGTAGCAGCAATAGCTGTGGTCACAGCTCGGAGACCAAGAAGAGTGCACTGACTCTTCCTCTGACAAAGCAGCAGTGAATTGTTTTTGTTCCTCTCAGTGTTCTTCCTCTCGCTACTCACTCTTCCTCTCTGGTTCTTCTACTTTGCCGTGTCTAAGAAGTGTCTAGATCCAAACGTCTGCATCACCAATGCATCCCAGTCCAACAAATAAAACAATAAAAATCGGCCACAGGTAAATATGTCTTCATGTCTAACACATGTCAACGCACGTACATCCCGTAGAGGACATGTTCATTTCATGCTTCATAGCTAGCCAGCTGGCCAACTATCTCCTCCCTTAAGAAATATATATAGTCCCCCATAGCACCCATAGATCAAATGGTCTATAATTATGACCAAGGCATGTGTATCGAAGCACAACTTTGATTGCATTGTTTTTAGTATCCACAAGCTAAAGGAAAATCATGATCTTTCCACATATGAAATCATGGATGCAAAAGACCCACACATCAATGCAAGTGAAAAGTTGACTCAAAAAATTAAAGAATAAAAAAAGGAAATGTAATTCAAACTCAATCCCTATCCTCACAAAGATCTCCAGTAAGAGTTTAAAAGGATAGAAACCTAAACTCATAAGATTCTAAGAGTTGGAGAACAACAGATAATGCAAGGGAATAAATAATGGAACAACAAGAGATAAGAAGCACACAAAATCTAAGTAGCCTACGAATATAAAGCAAGAGCAATGCTTTGGGCTATGATGAAGTCTTGTATACTTTAGAAACTGCCAAAATGTGGCATGACAACCCAAGAACCTGACAAGCTGTCAAAATTACCACTTAAAGAATAATTTTTTTCCATATAGGATAGCATTTTTTGTATTGAAAAAAATGGTACAAAAGAGAACTAATGCAAGCTAATCATAACAACAGTAATACTGAGTTCTTTACCTAAAAGAAATAAATAGATGAAAGATAAAATATTACTGCAAAATGAAACAACTGTCACCAATAAACCAAAAATATATTACCAATTAATCGAAATAGTCAAGCATTATTTGCCCTTTGTCTACCCTTAAAGTCGTTGATGGAGGCCAGTAAAATTTAAAGATGGAAAAAAGAAAGTAAATAAATTTATTCTATCATTATAGAAAAGAAGACATCCTCATCGTGTTTCCTCCCAAACTAACAATTGTTTCATATATAGTCTTCTTATAATATTCCTTCTATTTGAGGGTGTTTTTTTTTTTTTACACAATCAAACTAACATGTCACTTTCTAAGAATTTGGGAGAACTGATGGGGGGGGGCGGGGGGCGGGGGGGTTGGTGTTTAGAAACTGAAAAAAAAAGACACACCCAGATTCCAATGCCACAACTTTAGACAATTCCAATAGAGGTTGAACAATATGCAATAAAGTAGCACAAATTTGCATATTAACCAATAAATGTGCCCAAGGAAAGAAGGTGTACACCAGTTTGTTCAGTAATCACATGATTCATACTCAGCACACAATCTTCCCCCAACTTGAAAAGTCAAAACAAATATACAGACAGTTTCTATAAATTGTGATTTCACATCAATTTATTTATAATCACAACAACAATCTCAAATAAAATTACAGTCTTGTTTTAGATCGTTTGAGGTTAGCTAGTATCAGATGGCCCTATTTGGTCATACAACTCAACTGAACTAGCCCAAGCTTGGCGTCCATGATACAAAGAAAATAAAAAGAACACATAAATGCATATAATTATACGGTCAAACGCAGAATTGGGACAGTTCCACAAGCATTTGAAAGCAACTCCAAAGAACAAATAACATTTTTATTGGACAAAATCAAAAGGGTCAAGAGGTGATGCAGGGGAATTGAATTTCATGAGCTACAGATTTTTGCAGTAATTACTCAAGAATTAATCTGATTTTGGTTCAAATAAGTTTTTTTTTTTTTTTAATTTATCAAAGAGAGTCTTAAAACGCCATTGCAGTTGGCTGGCCCAACTATACAATAATACAATACAGAGGTACATGTGAATACATACAAGAAAGATAGTGCGGCAAGAAGGGTAATGAAAGAGGCAAAAAAGTTGCTGACCATTCTTTTGAGCCTAAACGCTTGTTTCAGAAGCCCCAGGAGAGAGAGAGAGAGAGAGAGAGGGAGAGTGGTTTGGTTCAGGTATCGTCTTCGTCGGCCATAACCTGGACTGGTCACTAAGCCCATCAACCATTACTGCGTGGGTTGGGATTCGCTTTGCTTCTAGGTTTTTTTTTTTTAATAATTACATTTGATAAATTTAAAAAATATTAATAATTAAATTTATAATTTTTTCCACCAATTTATTATAATGGTTTTTTCTCCTTTTTTTTTTAAAAAAATAATAATAAAAATGCTACATATTATACTCGATTGGACTAACAAAGTTTTTTTAAAAAATTACTAAAATCAAAAACAAAAAGGCCTTTAGTTTTTTATTTGTTTTAAACTTTTTAATTTTAAATTTTTAAATTTTTTTTTACTTTATAGATCCTTCGACCTTAGAGCATCTCCAACGGTAGTAGGCATTTTATCTATCTGAATATTACTATAAAGTATATATTTTATTTTGCCTATCAACTGTTTTATGTTTTTACTCCAATCATGCTCTTTATTTTAGCTATTTATGTAAATACTATTAATTTTATAGAATGCCACGTCAACAACAAAGATGGAGGGAAATGATCCTAATGATTGAATACATTTTGCCTAGCGTGCTACATATTATACTCGATTGGACTAACAAAGTTTTTTTAAAAAATTACTAAAATCAAAAACAAAAAGGCCTTTAGTTTTTTATTTGTTTTAAGCTTTTTAATTTTAAATTTTTAAATTTTTTTTTACTTTATAGATCCTTCTACCTTAGATAGATTGATTAAGTAAGAAAATAATATAAATTTTAAAAATTTACTAAAAATAAACAATTTTGACTTTTTTTTTTGAACTAGATGCCAAACCACAAATTTTTACTTAGGCATCATTTGGAAACATGCTATTATAGTAATTTTTTGACTTTTTAACTAAAATATGACATAAAAAAAAAAACATGTTTGGAACAATTTTTTGATTTTGTAAGAAAATATATGTAAAAAACAGAGAGAAAATGAAATTTTTGATTTTTTTTTTTGTATAAGTTATAGGCTTTTTTGTTTTTTTAATAACTTTTTGACTTTAGACTAAAACACTTATATGCCAAACGAGACCTTAAATTTGAGTAAAATTTGTGTTTAATATAAATCACTCTAACAAATAAACTCATAAATAATTTCAAAAATTTTGAGCAAACATTTGAGTAAAATTTAGGGTATGTATTTGGGTTTAGGAGCAGGGGTGTCTTGAATAATTTTTACCCAAATTAAAATTTTCAATTTTTACTTTTTACTTACATTACATCAATTTTAAATTTGAGTAAAAAGTTTAAATAATAACCCTACCGCTCTTTCACTAAACTTCAATATTTAAAATTAAATGTACTAAATTAAATTAGTTAAACTCATTTGATTACCATAATTCATAACATTTAAATTTTAATTACATTTTAACAATAAAAAGTTAAACTCATTTGATTACCATAATTCATATCATTTAAATTTTAATTACATTTTAACAATAAAATAAAATTTTAAGTCATTAACTTCTTGCTTCTTACTAAATATTAAATGTTGAATTTTTAATAAATTATACATAAGTCCCAATTAATATGTATTGCCATTGTTCTAGCAATGCTACCACCACCAACTCTGTGGCCTCAACTACCACGCTACTACTATCAAGGCTGATTATCCCATTTTGTCCCACTCCTTAAAAAGATCATCATCATGAACAGCACCCCCTCTAATTTGATCATCATCGTCACTACTATTATCTCACCACCAAACAACCACTAATCTTGTGACTCATTAGTGATTGAGCAGAACGGACACATCCATGGTGGCTGGTTCATCTTTTTGCTTCTTCTCTATTGTTCTTGTTTTATAGTTGAATTGAATGCATATCAAAAAATTGAATGAGGAAAAGTAAGTCATAATTTTGAAAAATACAAGACGTGAGTGTTTCAAACTGTGGAGCAGTTATGTAGTTGTAGTGTCATAAGAATATGGAATGTTCTTTATTTGAAGTGGTAACAAGTGTTGCTAAAATGACACATACCTACAAATGGATGCATGACATATTAGTTGTGCAATTCTCTTTTTCTTATTAGGGACCTTTGTGGAATAAGAAAACGTAAAAAATAGTAGAGATTAGTTAACATTATTTTTTTGAATTAATTTTAACTACAATTTTATCCCTTAATTATATCTAGGTCAAATAGTACACACATTCCTTCAAACCCTAATTGTTCTTTCACTATTGTGACCCCTTCTCTTTAAACCTTACGTCACGTCACATTTTTCTTTACTATCGTAGTTGTCACTCCCTAAACTCATCCCTATAAATTTAGCATCATAACCGACCAGTAATTCGTAAATCACCGAAGGCCTCTTAAACATAAATCAAAATTTTAGGGGACTAACAGAAGCAAAAAACAAATATACAATGTCCATTGAGTTGTATAGATATATATGAGACCAAAAAAAAAAAAAAAATTAGACTTTATATACATATATCATAAATCACCCTTACATCATCACATTTATACGGATAAGACAAAAAGAGAATTAGCCCTAATTACAGAATAAACAAAAACTTAAACTATAATCACATAGCCATGACCACTTGACATATTTGGAACCTCCATGGGAGGCACATAGGTTGGCAGACAAAATAGAGTTCGGGTAGAAACTTTAGGCCTGGTCACGCGCTTGATCACCTGCATATATAAATAATACAATGAACTGGAGTCCAGTGAATAATAATAAAGTAAAGATTTTGATGAATGATATCCATAACAAATTTAGAAATCATAATTCAAATAAAAAATAGATTCATATACATATTCAGATTTGTAAACAGTCATATGTGATACATCCATTAGTGCTAACAGATTAGATTGGTCATAAAGACCCATATATACAAAGCAGATGGTTATTAAGACCTATATTCGTATCAGACAAATGATTGTACACAATCGTAACAGATAACAATATAGGTTTCACAGATAATTCCATGATTGGAACTCACAGAGATCCTTGGTACCAGGTAACAAATCACAGATATCAGATAATAGATGTTAAGGGTGCAACGATTATATTTCAGAAATTGGACAATCATTCATTCATTCAGAAAATATCGTTTCAGAAAACAGAGTATAACTTATTATCAAAAAATACATATAAGTAAACATATCTTTATAGAGTTGTTGTGACGTCCCAAAAATCGAGAACATCAGATAACATATATTAACAAATAAATACAGGGTTTATCTAAGGTTAGGAGTCTAGGAAACGTCACTAATGAGTCCTATGACCAATAACCAAGTAAAATCCTAGATCACTAGAGGAGTCAAGTTAGCCTCCCTTCTAAGTTCAACTTTCTTAGGTAACGCACTATCCTTTTGACAGATTTTAAAAGGTATTGACACAAGGTTTCATAAGCAACGCAGAGATAGGTATAGGATTACAAAAGTAAATAATAATTATAGTGTCTCAAATTTTGAGTTTACAAACGAGTTCCATTACTATTTCAATCTAAAAAGAATAAATAAAAGCACAATTAGACTAATAAGCGAAATGGTTCCGAACTTTCTCTTAGGCAAATTTAAGTCTTCAAATGTCTTTGACTCTTCGTTGGCCTCGTACGTTTCTTCGATACCTGGCATGAAACGCCACGAGCTTTGAATGCCCAGTAAACGCACACACACCCTGTCATTCTTTCCCAATCTAATACACAATAGCAATTACAATAATAGAGGAAAAGAGCATGACATTCAAGTAATTAACACAGGTTACAGGATTAGTTATTAGTAGTCTAGAAATCCCCCAAAGAGATTTCATTCTCTCCACTGCAAGAATCTGATACGGATTATTCAGTATGCTCCCTCTTTTGCTGCTTTGTTGTAGAACTTACCTCGGATGCCTAGCAATGGTTATATACCGCGTAGCGCCAACCGCAAGGCCTCAAAAGAAACGGTAATGATGGGCCTTTTCCAAATCCCTCCTTACACCAAAATACCTAGGGTTCGAATACAATCGTTCCATTCAAGGGTTCCGAAAACCACTTGTGCAACTTTCAAATAGTGAACACATTCCCATCAACCAATCAATATCTTAGTAACTTGTCCAAAAATTAGCAAACCCATTTCCACCTACAAAGTTTCATGTTTGAGTTAGATAATTTAAGTCAGAGTTAGGGCATGCTCTTGAAATAACCTCTATTGCACAAGTATGAATAACTACATAGCACAAATGGAAGAACTATGGTTACAATACATGAGATTAACAGATCAAAATATGCACAAGTAACTTTAGGCATATTCAAGTAGTTAAGGGGATAATATCGCACAAGAATATAAATTTCCAGATTTGCACACATGTGAGCACCATCGAAGGACTAAAATAAAAGGTACATAACCATTACATATATAATATCATACCAAGACATGACCATATATTAATAAACACATTCATGAAGACAAGAGCATAAAACACCAATGCAAAACAGAATTTTCAGATTAAGTATCACTTAAAGATTAAGATCAAAAGGGCTATTTCAGATTTTTCCTAAACCTAGCCTTCTTATGGTTCGTAGAGAATCTAATCTAGTTTTCAAAACATGCTTCGGAAATGGGATATCTTTTCTAGATTTTTAGTTATTTAAGAAAGACTCCAGTGCTGTTCAGATTTGTCGACCATTACGAAAATCGAATTTTCTTACAAACCATTCACTCTTTTTCAATGAAACCAATTTTCCTTGAACTCTAACTCCTTAAGGAAGATTTTGCATAAAAATAAGATCCATAATATTTTTCTACATTTTTCTAGAATTTTCAAAAGTTGACTGTAAAAATAGATTTTTCCTGCACAATACTCAAAATAAGAAGATTTATAAGAAAATAAGCCAACTAAGGGAAATTTCTCAATTATTTTGTGATGAAAACATACTAAATAATGTATCAATAACTCAAATTTTTAGAGTACTGGTATGGCTTAAAAAAATGTGAGATATGGGAAGAAAAACGTAGTTTTGCATCTATTAAGAGGAAATATGAATAGAAGAATA